GTCGGCGTAGTTCTCGTCAGTATGACACGTGACTTGTATTTCAGCAAACATGAGACTAAACTCTTTCTCCGGCCAATACTGATCACATTTTGGTACCTAAAAAGAGAGAAAGTTGTGATTAATATCAAATCAATATTTAAATAATTGTTTACTTTCAATCATTTAAAGATGATTTTATCTGAAATTGATTTTTTTATCTTGTAAAACTTTCTTTTCATATATATAATTATATATCAAGTAAATTTGAGTGTTTTGTGAGAAATGTGTTACATGTTAATACCTATTTCACAAAAGTAACTTATTTTATAAAACAAGATAAAGTAATTATAATATAACTGATAAGAGGTAAAAACTCGAAGACTCACTCCGCCTTCCTCAAGGTTTGTCAACATAACAATTTTTCCGACATTTTCCTGCCAAACCATTATCCAAAACGCTGACATATCGCCCATGTATTTATAGGTCGGACCTATTTTGTACAAATATCTATTTAGACACATTTTTAAAATTTTGAATATTAAATGGGCTTTTCTTCAATGACGATGACATAACTATCAACTATGATTCAGTTATAACTCTTCAGTATTCACTTGCAATATTTAAAAATGTATTGTCATAAACAATAACATAAAATATCACAGTATATCAGTCTACATATCTGTCAAACATTGCCACTCTAGAGTATACAGGGTTATACGAGACATTTACGATATGAATACTAAATTAATTTGAACACTTGAAACAGGATAAACCTGTTACGTTAGATTATCCTTGACCTTCAATTAAAATTCAATAAATTGTAATAATAATACAAAGGACACTTATGGCATGCATGCTCATTATGATAAATATCTTAGAAGAAGTATGTTATCCATGGTTAGACTTGGCAGCTTCTGACAATAGTTTACCTAGAACAGCTTTGTATAAAGCACAGTTAAAGTTGCAACTCAGTACAAATATATTTGGTACTCTAAAATACTATTCTCAACAGGATAGACACTTTATTTCTTATCAGAATAAATATGTGAAGAACCCGGAAATATAACTACACATATTAAGTGAATAAGGGCAACCGTAGAGTATTGTAGATAAATAAAATAACGTACCAATCGAAGCAATGTACGCTTTATTCTTGTTGTATCCCTGTAACAATATAATGACATTAAATTAAATGCAATATGAAATATTTAATTCTATTCATTTCAAATATGTGTTGTTCACTCAGTTGGAGCTGACCATTTTCGAGAAAATTAATGCTTCTCTTATATTCATATATTCGTTAGAGATAAGGTGAAAATTAATTCCAATTAGAATATTATTTTTATTCACTTTCGGTTCATAGTCATAATACCATTGATCAACTTACATCTATGTAGCTGGCGTTAATATAGTCTGAGTCACCTTCCTTCAAAACAACACGGGTATCATCATCTGAAAACAATATCATATTTAAAATATATATCTATATACTAATTTTAATTCTTAGCAAATAACACACATTTTGTAACATAACTACTAATGTTAACAAATAGCTGCATGAAGGAAACGACTACCAAAAGACAGACAAATATGTATCCTAATAAAGACCATAAATAACCTAATAATATATATGTAACAAGGGGGTAATTTTAAAACTCACATGGATAAATCCCTTTGTAGCGATTTTTAGGGCGGTTTTCCCTTCTCTGTGAGTCAGCGTACGGCTTGATCAATATGGCTGGTAAATACTGAAAAACACAATACAGCAAACACTGCCAACATTTTACTACAGTCATATATCATTATATATCTATATTATTTATCAGGCATATCTAATATACATTATATTTATAAATTTAATTTTATCAAAGATTTATCAATAATGGCTAGTGCATAAGTACCTGAAAGTCATCAATAAAATTTTTCTTTGTCTTCTTGGCAACAAATTCCGGTAGTTTATCAAGAGTTATTTTCCTCTTTATAACAGCTGCTACATTGTAGTATGTGTCTACATTATCAAGTTCTGCTGCCTTTTGCTCTTCTAGGAATACCTACAATTTATCAAACATTTATACCCATATTTAAAATATAACACGTAAAATAATTTCACTCATTAGTTTTATCAACCAAATAGTTTGAAGGTTATCTCAATATATAGAAAATACTTGATTGCATGACACAGTGAATACAAAAAATGAAGCTGTAAATAAGACAAGATCAATACTAAAGAAAATAATTAATATCCCTACAACAACAAGTGCATTGTAACGAAAACACTACTGAATGTACAAAATCATATCAATATCAACTTATATAAAAAATAAATACTTACTGATTTAGATCTGCTAGACAAGCAGCCAATATCCTCCTCTATTTCTAGAACGGCATCATTTTCAATGTGTGATATGTGTGATGTCGGTTGCATAGCAACTGCTTTTCTTATTACATTGTTGTCATACATTTGGGCAGGTTTGGACGCAATGGGAGGTTTACTGGTTTTGTTCGTCTTAACCGTTTCTGTTTGACTGGTGTCTGGTTTCTCGTTGGTAGGATTATTGACAGTTACCTCGGTTGAATTTCTGTTTAATGATTTTACTGTCTCTGTTTTTCTCTTAGGTTTGATAGGTTTAGCATATATGTTATCTATAATATGCAAAATCTTTTAAAATATATCCGTTGCAAAACTAACACAGGGTGATAGTTTATGTTAAATGAAAACGTGACATTCCTTAATATCACGAAAAAAATAAAATTGAAGACTTGTTTTTAAAGTATGTTTATGAGATAGGTATTGAAACGTGAAGGACTGAACAACGACATCGTTATGATGTACCGGCAACTAATTATACAGCAATTAAAGCCAAATGTTGCTAAACAGTGACTATCCAAAAATCTGGATGACTTTCGGAAGTAATAAAAACATCAAAACTGAACAAATATTGCTAATCAGTTTGATTTATCTTAAGCGGTATTCAATAAGCAACGTGCAGTAACATACCAGAAAATTATATAACAACGCACATGTGAAGCACGAGACAACATTTTACAGATGCTTCACGGCACTAAACACCTGTTTTTGAAATGTATGGAAAGTAGGAAAAAGTTGCTAGCTTATTCTTTATCTTACCGAGGGTTGGTCAATCATAATATGATTTTGATTATAATAGCTTATTACATTATTATTAGTATCATTATATTATATTATTTTTAAAATATATATTATATCGTATCAGAAAATTTAAACTATAGAGCAAAAGAAAATTACCCGTTTCTTGACTTTTCGTCAACAAATTAGCATCATTAATTTCACTGTAAGTAATGTTTTCTCTGTCTGCTTCGGTGTCATCAGTATGGTTGTTTTCAGCCGTCACATGGGTGTCATTTATCTCACTGTATGTCATATTTTCGTTTTCTGTTTTATTCTCTTTGTTAAAAACGTCTTGATTGTTTACTCTTCTGCGTCTAAATTTGATTGGTATAATAGAGTTTGAAGTTACTTATCTAAACACATGTCATAGTAACAATATACATCATTAGCTAATAAAACTAATTATTAGAAGAAAATTTGTTAAATCAATATTTCTGTCGTATAATATAAATCATTACATAAAATCTTCTTAGTATTACAAACTAAAGAAAAATTAGTAAAAACGCATTTTATACCTTTATTCTAATGACCAAGTAAACAAAGACCACCATATATCGAGATATTTCAAGCAAAACAACTCATAAATACAATAAAAATTCTTACTTTGACATCAGTAGAACTACTGCTATCAGTAGAATAATAAACATTACAAATAAACCTCCACCAACTGATGCTCCAATTACAATACTTATGTTGTTATCCTCTTCTTTCAGCAGTTCTAGAGCTAAAACGACAATTTTTCAAATAAAAAAAGCATGTTTTCCTATTTAAAATTATACTTTTTCGTTGTCCGAATCGACTTAATTAACGCGTTGACAAAAATCTCGTGCACAGTAGAACTAATCAAATATTATCATAAACGCAATAAACAAGGAAATGACTGTATATGGTGAGATGTTACATGGCTCACAGGAGTTAGTACAAAATACAGTTAGTATACATTTAATAAGTTGGCCTAGATATTAAAAATTAAGGATGAAATTATTTTTCTTTGCTTTGAGTATTTGTTTCTACCCAAACCTTAAATAAAACTGTATCTTAATATAATATTTATTTGAACGTTATTCATTTTTAATGATAAATTTTATTTTAGTTGATATTGGATTAATAGTTAATATTCTTTACTAACAAGAGATATCTTAAAAAACAGTGTACATAATGTCTTTCAGTATGCACATGCATGTCCTAGGATCGTAGACGTTTTTGGTCGTCTCGTCTTTTGAGAATGTAATTTATAAATGGGTAAGTTATTATGTTGAAAAAGCTATATACTAGAGAAATAATGAATGCTTTTAAAGCAGTATGAACTACTTAACTGAAGAAAGTTCACAGATCTCAAATTTTCTAAAGATTCAACTAGAAAGTATATTTCCGATACTCCTTTAGAACATTTTATATTTTGGACGTGTATACGGTTCAGAAATATCCTTTAGATTATTATACTAATTTTAGAATGACAAATGAAATTCATGGATTTCAGTTTGCAATTTTAAGATGACCGATGAATATCCTTCATAAATTCAGTTCTTCCCTGTCAATCTGTCAATTTTACAGGAAGTCAAACCGATCTTAGACGGACTTCGTCCACACAAAAACGCACATATGAAAAAAAAACGTATAGATATATATAGCCTGAAAACTTACCCTGTGTGCACCTTGTTCCATTGTATCCTGACTTGCATCCCTGTGAACAATCTCCATATACTCTTCCACAAATATTATTCAAACAATTAGGGCTACATTTCATATCGCATACATTTCCGTAAAACCCAGTTACACAACCCTGGCTACAATTCCCAGTCAATTTATCACAAAGGTGGTTTAAGCAGTTTTTATTGCATTCTTCTTTACAAATTCGTCCTTGAAATCCTATGTCACACAATGAGCAAGTGCTATTAGAGGAACAACTCAAACAGTTTTTGGGGCATGGTTGACACGTACTCCCCCAATGATTTTTAAGACAAGTTGTGCAATTTGTTAACGAATTACATGCTAAACAGGTAAGGGGACAGTTTTGGCCCAACGAGTTTTTCCCAAATTTTACCAGATACATCTTTTAAATTTAATTTCAGAAAATTTCCCGGGCTTTACAGTTTTGAACATTCCCCATTAAATCTGTGCAGTTGTCTTTAATCCACAACCTACAGAAAACGTTTTGGGGCGAAAATCGTTTCCGTATTTTCCCGGGTTTTTGAAAAGCGTAGCATTTCCCAAAAAAAAAGAAAATCATTTTTTTTTGCATCCTTTTGGGGCATTTTTCCCCAATGAAATTCCCATCCCTTCCTTTTTGGGCACTTATCACACATTTTCCCCAAAAGAAAACCCAATTTTTTGCAACTGAAGGTGCATTTTCCACTTTCGTCACAGATATTCTGCTGACATCCATGTGCACATGGAAAATCACAGTTTGTACCATATCTATGTCTAACGCATTTCTCACATTTGTCCGAGGCAAAGCCATTTTTACAAGTGCAATGTCCGTTATTTTTATTACACTGCCCATCTAAACAAAACCCCGGGCCAAAATTTTTTTTTGACAGTGGTGCCCCTAAACCCCCCCCGAAAAAACAATCAGTACACCCGTTATAAAAAGAGCACACTTACATGTCGGTTTTCTGAACCCCACTGAGTCAGAAAACTGGGGCTTTTATTTTCCGGCCCAAAACAAATCACTGCAAGTGTTATGCATGTACAAGATTTTAAATTATTGTTACAATTTTAAAACCCAAAACTGTTATCAATTTAATTTAATTTTTCCATCAATTTCCCAAAATTTTTAAAAATTTCATTTTTTTATTTAAAGCTGTTTCATGACTTTAAAAAAGGACTGACCATTCAGTTTCAATTTTTTATTTCAAAACCTTTTTAAAATTTTTATTCCCGTACCGTTTTTGAAAAAAACCTCTCTTGCATTCTTCACAAGTGTGGTATGATGAGCATGACTTACAGTTTTGATCACATTGATGTCGACAATCATTGTGTACATAATCGCTATTTGGGCCCTGTTTACCATTGTAGAATCCTTCTTTACAAAAATTACATGTATTAAATAACCCAAGAAAATGATACGGGAGTTTTTTTTACATCCCATGAAGGGAATTTATTGTAATAAGAGTAATTTCTCAATGTCACCCTTTTTTTTCCCCTATAGAAAACCCCTTATTGCATGAAATTTTGCACTTTTTTAAAATTAGAAATTTTTAAAAAATGATCCCGGGATTTGTTGGGCAAAAAATTTTCCCTAATACCCAAATCACTACATTTGTTGCATGTATTTTGATCAGTGCAAGTCAAACAATTTTCAATACACTTATGTTTACATTGAACACCAAAATAACCATTAATACAACCATTTTCACAATAATTGCTATAGCGTTGATTATGGCTATGACATGCTTTATGTTTACAGCATTGGCAATTGTCGCATTCGTTCGTTGTTAAACCTGTAAAAAAAGAATAGTACGTGACAATCAAAATGTGTTTAATAATGAAAACAACATATGTCAAATTTATTTAAAAACTAAAATAAAATGAACATTAAAAGTAGGGTTATAAGCATAAGATGCTCCTTTGTTCATATGAAATTACAGTATTTTGGATACGAATATGTTACACCATTATAGCCTGGATGAAAATGAATTCTAGGGCCGTGAAAGAATAAATATTTTAATTTTGTCTAAATATTCGTTTCCATGAAGTCTAGTCGGACCCGGCATGTCTCCTCTTAGTTCGTGTTGTTTATTGTGTCCTTATTCCGAGAATTATCATTGTTCAAAGTTCAATTGGAAAATTGAGAGAAACAATTTTCTTTTGATTGAGTTCAGATAAAAATATATGTACAGTGGACACTCAGTTATCATCCAACTTCATTATCAAGAATCAGTATCAAACCGGGCGGTTTTTCCCTATTTGATTCTTCTTTATCAAAAATAGACGATTTTATGGACATTTCCTTTCAGATACATTTCCTTCCACACGCACAGGCATATGCACGCATGCACACAGACAATGAATTAAAGGCAATTATCGTTTACTAAAATACTGGTAAGGCCTATTGGTAATGTACAGGTACCGATATTTATTTTCTTCCAAACCGATAGGCGAACTTTATTAGAAGAAGTATGTAAAATAACGTTGATTTAAATAAAAATCCTATATTTAACTACATAATTCCAAGATTTTAATGAAATATAAAAGATCATTTTTAAAAGATAAAAAAAAGGCTGATAACCCTACCTGAGTTTTTCCAAATGTTAAACAATGCCGATCGATCGGCAAATACAGTAGTGGTACGGATATAACTATAAACCGTATTTTGCGTTTATATATAAGAAAGAAAGTCATAAGCCGGAAATAATGTATATAAAAATCACATGAAAAATTGTAAAAATAAAAATATGACAACTATGAACGGATTTGTAGAAGAAATTGAACATCTATCATTTTATAATTCAAATAAATGACGCACACAATTGTTAGAATGAGTTTGTTGTATTTTCTAATTCATGCATTTGAAAGCAAAACATGATATATATAACCAAAACCACAAAACCACAAATGTGTCAAACACTATGCATGCAAAAATATTGTTAAATATACTCATTTCTACAACATGATTATATCAACTTACCTTTGTTGAGCCAAAGAATAATGCATATCAAGCTAAATTGCTTCATCATCCCTCTTTGTGAAGTGATGTGGTTCAAAGTCTGAATAAAGAATGATAAATATTCTTCACAATGAAAATAACGTAGTGCTTCACAACCGGCCATCGGCTGATTTATGTCCTTCATACAAATATTTAGTAGATTGTAGATTGTATTTAGCGTAAAGTAACAGAAACAATATCTAATTATCGTAGATAATTTAACCTATTCTGAAAATGTATATTTATACGCAAATTATATTGATGTCTCCGTAAATAAAAACATTTTAGCCAAAAAACGTAAAGACATACATGTATATACGTCTATCAATATTTGGAGCATCTTATTTTACTTTCAACTTCCATAGTAGAGCTATCACAAACGTTTTTCATACCCTCATCCACCACGTTAACTTTTTTTAATAAGAAGTGGTCTGAAGTGTAACTTGAACTAAACCTGTCAGTATGATAATCTATTAACCATTACCTGTGTAAAAAAGGGTGGTAAACAACGAGTGATTGATACATAGACAACATAGCCAGATTTTATAGACCTGTATACTAGTATTATCATGTATAACATCATGTAAAATACAAATGCAGGGCAATTTAATCCGAATGTTGATTTAAGTAATCAGACAATCAAGAAAAGTGTTTAAAATATTTTAATCTTTATTATTCTTATGACACTTTATGACCTACAAGGCATTTTACCCTAAGTGTGTGATTCATAAAACTTTTAAAGCGATCTACTACACAATGATTTATGTCAAATATAGAGGCATAGTATGTATAACGAAAAAGGAAAGATGTGTCTCCCTATACCTTAGTCTAGTTAATGCAAGACTTTCGCTGCTTTGGGGTCATGATTAATATATATTTTGTAGAAATTTACAAACTGATGCTTCATGGCATATATCTTAACTCTAAAGGTTGTAGTTTCACACAATAAGACTTAAATGTGTTTCCTATATCTTTATAAAATGACACCGGGGTGGGCAAATTTTGACCACTGGAACATGATTAATACAAATGATGTTTGCAGACATTCACAAGGTATTGCTACATGTCAAATACATATCTTATCCCTTCGCATTAGTGTTTCACAAAATAAAAATGAAATGCGTTTTCTCATACCAGACTATATCTACTTAGTGACCCCAGGGGCGGGGACAACAAGGTCAGCAAGGCACTATGATTAGTAAAAGTGACCTTGGCCCCTAAGGTACCTAGAGCAAACCATCATCTCGATCTTCAAATAAATTTGCTATATACCAAGTTAAAATGCAATCTCAAATTGCAAACTTAAATAATCATTCGGAAACCATTTTTATATTTTGAGCAAAAGTGACTTTGAGACCAGGGGATCTAATAGCAATTCCAACTGTGGTTTTCATACAAGTTTAATAAATAACAAGTTTCATTACATTATCCCATCCCTAACTCTAGATATTATCCGAAAGCCAGTTTGGCTTTTATTAAGTAATAGTAAACTTCACCCTAAGCCTAGGGTATCTAAAAGCAATCCCAACCTGATTTTTAAAAAAAAAATAATTTATGAAACAATAGTTTCTATATAATACCGAGTTTGATTAAAATAGCCCTCTCTTTACTCTAAATATCGTCCGGAAAACATTTTTTCTATTTTTAGCAGCAGTTAACATGACCTTAGGGGGTTCAAAAGAATTCAAGAAAATTTATATAAAGTTGTTATATACAAAGTCTGACTACAATAATACATTCTAAACATTATCATCGTTCAGAAACCATAAAGTGAATGGATCGGCAGATGGACGGACTAAATGACCAACAAGCTGACTCCTATAGACCACCCGTAGATTTGTTTATGTGGGTATAACTAACATTTCATTAATTACAACACTAAACAAAACAACAACGAAACAAGTAATATGACAAACTAGGAAAATATAATTTTCATCACTAACCTGAAACTTTATATAATTATCAATGATTATCAATGAGTTTGATAAAGTGATTCTTCTTCGACATATAAAAAGCCTAAACAAAGCAATTTTTACCATACATAGTTTCGAATAACGACTCATTCATTTCATGAAACGTTAACGTTATAATTGGAAAAAATCTATGATGTCCACTCTGTACAACTTACAAACTTTCATTTATATATAAAGACATTAACTAATGAAATATTGACTTCATATATATATGATGATATAATATATATTCTGATTTGTTTGTTGATGGAGATGATATTTATATTTGTTTTACATATTTTCCTCCAAGTGACTCTAAGGTTTTTAAAGCCTCTGATTTTGACTTTTTTGATCAAATTGAAACTGATATTTTGAAGTATAATAACTTAGGTAAAGTTTTCATTACTGGGGACCTAAATAGTAGAGTCTCAAATGCAGAAGATTTCATTGTTTTTGACAAATATTTAGATGAAAACTTAGATTTATTAAATACAAACGTCTCTATTCCACCTCGAGTGAATAAAGATACAGTAATTGATCACAACGGTAGACGACTTATAGAACTATGTCAATCTACTGGGTTACTAATTGCAAATGGTCGTTTAAATAATGAACCCGGAAATTTTACTTTTTGTTCTCACCGCGGTTTAAGCACGGTAGATTATTTATTATTAAATTTTTCAGACTTTGAAATTGTTTCTCAGTTCATTATTCCAGAATTTAATCAACACTCAGATCATGCGCCGATCGAGTTTAAATTTTCGCTACGCTTAGCAGACGACAACGTTAGCACGTGCACGAATTCACCGGTTAACCCAGCTCCCACGACTTCTAAAATAGTATGGGATGATAAAAAAAGTACATCTTTTTCGTGCACAGCTCACTATTAAACAAGATTCATTTAATCACATTATCGAACGCGCATCTCACGCACCAATTGATGACGTAGTAAACGACTTTACGACATTAATGTCTGAAAGTGCACATTCAGTCTTCGGTAAATCTTACACAAAACATGTAACCATAAACACAAGGAAAACCAGCAAAGATTGGTTTAACGCTAACTGCGCTTCCGCAAAAAATGAGTTTAAACGCGCACGTAATAATTTTAATCGTAATAAAATAAATGAAAACAGGGTATTGTTCACGCGTGCTAGGACTAAGTATAATAAAGTGAAAAAGAAAGCATACAATATATACAAAATTCGACAGGGCCAGAAAGTTAGCAATTTAGCTAAATCTCAACCTAGACAGTTTTGGAAAAAGATTCGAAAATCTTTTAAAAAGGCACCACTAAAGGCCGATAATCTTAATATCGATAGTTTGTTTAACCATTTTAAAGGCATGTTTGGTGAGGAACCGCCGAGTAGTGAAAATGACGATTATATTCCGCAGAACGACCAAACCGACGCTGACCTAGATATTTATTTTACAGAACAAGAACTTAGATCCGCAGTTTTCCACCAAAACAATAATAAAATGCCGGGGTTAGACAATCTTCCAAGTGAATTGTTTAAGTCGAGCTATGATTTAATTTCACCTCTTTTGTTGAAAATATATAACAGAATATTTAACAGTGGCGAATATCCTAATTCTTGGGGTTTAGGAATAATTACTCCTATCTTTAAAAAAGGGGACATAAATGATGCTAAGAATTATCGAGGCATTTGTCTTATTAATGTACTTGCAAAAATTTACTCTCAGTTGCTTTTAAATAGATTAACTCAATGGTCCAACAAATACGATACGCTTGACAAAAATCAATTCGGATTCCAAAAGGGGAAGTCAATAATTGATTGTATTTTTGTCCTACATTCTGTATTAAGTAAAGTTTTAGACTTGGGTAAAAAACTTTATTGCTGTTTTGTTGATGATATGTTGTGTTTTCATAGAATTAATAGATCATATTTATGTCAAATACTTTTAACAGAAAAATTTAGTAGTAAATTTGTACGGGCCGTAAAAGCAATATGTATACTATTGTTAAGTCCTGTGTAAAGTTCAATTCAGAATCATCAGACATCTTCACCTCTAACATCGGATTGAAACAAGGGGACCCGAGCTCCCCTCTGCTATTTATGTACTTCGTAAATGACATCACACACAATATTAATACAAATATTGATGATATATTCACAATTAACGAAGTAAAATACTTTTTATTATTGTACGCTGATGACCAAGTACTTTATGCTACATCCCCGGAAGCATTACAGTCTATGATAAATGATCTTGTAACGTATTGTAGGGAGTGGGGTCTAACAATCAACACTACAAAAACTAAAATATTAATATTCGAAAGAGGACGTCACTCTCAACATAACTTTTATATTGAAGATACACCCTTAGAAGTAGTTACGTCATTTAAATATTTAGGTATTACATTATTTAAAAATGGAAACTGGTATCGCAGTCAAAAATGTATTGCACAGCATGCGTCTCGTGCATTATATAGCCTGTTCACCATCTTTAATAATATCGAGTTACCAATTAAACAAAAAGTAAGCTTATTTGACAGTTTGGTATTCTAAATTTCGGCTCTGAAATATGGGGAATGCATGAAGCGACCGACATAGAACTGCTACATACTAAATTCTTACGTCGCGTATTATGTGTGAAACGCTCAACAAACCTCTCCGCACTTTACGGAGAACTCGGGCGCGTACCACTAGCCGTATTCAGAAAAATAAACATAATTAAATATTGGATTAAAATATTAAGGCACGCGGACTCTTCATTAATAAAGCAGACATATACGTTTTTAAAAGCTGACGCTGATAGCGGTCGTGAGTATCGTGGTCTTAATTGGGCTGCTCAAGTGAAAAGTATTTTAGATGAACATGGATTAAGCTATGTCTGGAATCAACAAACGGATGTGAATAATATACCGTTCCAGTTGATAAAACAACGCATATTAGATACATATTATCAACGCTGGTACTCAGACATAAATAATTCGCCACGCCTTCAATCTTACTGTATATTTAAGCATAATTTTCAAACAGAACATTATTTAGATTGCATTAAAGAGAACAAGTATAGGGTTGCACTATCAAGACTTAGAACATCGTCGCACAGTTTACTTATAGAAACCGGACGTTATGAGAATATCGCGCGAGAAGAACGGCTTTGTAAATCATGTAATATGAGAAAAGTTGAGACTGAATTCCACTTTATTTTAGTATGTCCTAAATATCGCGAATTGAGAACTAAATATTTTCGGCAGTATTTTTGTCGTTGGCCATCTATACATAAATTTGATCAATTAATGAATGTCACATCTAAAAAATATATTTGTAATTTATCGAAATATATATATTTTGCCAATAGAATAAGAATTTCATAATTTGTCCATACACCTCCATAATACTGTATGCTCTTATTTTGATAACAAAAGCTGACATGTTAGAAAAAATACACTGAACTTTGTTAAAATGTGCAAAATACTATGTATTCATAAGTCAATTTAATAAACTTGTTTTTTCTTTTCTGAAAACACGTTTTCATGTACCTGCCGCAATTATGTATTGCTTGCTATAAACTTTGTAAAAGAGTTTTATGCAATAAATCTATGTTATGTTATGTTATGTTATGTTATATAGTATATCCGTGATCTTTGTCGAAATAAGATTGTAGGTGTATTTGTTATCTGTTTGTTACATCCGTACAGGAAATTTATTCTTATTATTAATCTAAATGCAGTTAAGCAGGAACAGAATAGTATCTACGTCCGAGATATAATTTTCTTAATTACATTGAAAATTTGAGATTTAAATAATTTTAAATATCTCAATACATGTAAATCTTAAGAAATTTAAAATTAGAAATTGAGTCGGTGTCAAAACTGAGCGATTTAATCTATACACAGGCCCTGCCTGCATTAATTTCAATAAAAAATTTCGATATATTGTTATTGAACGGGACAAATACGATGATTTATTTTATGCTTTTCACTTAATTACTGATTTATCTGTGAAAATTATATTTAATAATCTCCCAGTGAAAATTTTCAAAATATAGTTTCACACTTTTCAATGATGAGACTATCTTTTTAGATTTTCCGCATGCGGTACCTCGGTTTTATTATTGTTGACAATTCTGAAATTGTCAGGGCTGTTTAGAGAAATGCAAAGCTGAAATTGATAAAAACCTGAATTTCAAAAGTTACCAAAAACCAAATATCGTCCCCTGATTTTAGTTTCATTTTACAGTCTGAAAAATGTAATTCCTTCCACATGCAAAACTGCTCTTGATGACATGTGGGCTTTTTAAAAAATCCTACGAGTAATAACTGCCTTATAACTTGAAAAGCAATGACAGACATCAGCCCGAAGAATTAGTAAACAAACCAGCGTTTGTAATGACGTAAGGCAGCCTTTCAAAAATTCCATGTTTTCCAATTTCTTAGCCGCTTTTCAAATGTTGACACATTTGTCAACACTTAGTCATAGTCTGAAACGATCCATAAAAAGATGCATGACTAACAAATCCAAATGATATCCCTTTGAATAAAACACAATTATTTTCCTCCCGTGAAATACACAATTTTTAAAAATGGCGGCCACTTACATTTCACAGAGCCAGGTCAAATATAAACTTGCCGTATGAAACAAAACTATGGATAGATGGAT